GACTCGGACATAGACGTTCCCGAGGATGAAGGTTCAGACAGTGACATGGAGGAATTGCGTCCCGCTAAGCCACATCTCACACGAAATGGCCTCATGACAGGTATGCAGACTGGGGATAGCCACACCCATGTTATGATCAATTCTCACCTGCATAAAGTGAAGCCATTATTTAAGTAGATGGTCTGGTTGTTTACTGTGTCTAAGTGCTTTCTATCAAACATCACACACATTCATGCTGCAGTGTTTAATGTAGACACTGATTGGTTCTCAAAAAACCAAAGAACATCAAGCCATGCAATAACAACACCTTTCACGTTCCTTGAACATTGCCTCCTTGTGTCCCTCCTTTAGGCAGAGGAGCACGTTTCATCGGGAACATGCAGGGTGGTGACAGTGATGAGGTTAGTAATCTTTTAACTTCCTCGGTTTCTTTTTCTCCTCTTTTGCTGAGCTATACTTGAGTTCTTTTGTGTTGATTTTGGCTTGCAGGTGTCCCAGATGGTGCTCACTGCTCATGACTTGCACTTTAACCTTTATCTGTCATTTCTAGCTGATTCTCCTGTTCAATCTCTGATCAGTTTCTTCCCCGTTTTCGGTTTCCAACTTGTTATCTAAGGCCCTTTTAGCTGTTTCCAGAACATCATTCCCCCATAAGAAAAAACACCAGAAAGGAAAGGTTTGTGCCGGACCAAGATCTAGTTCACTCCCCTTTTCCTCTTCGTGCATCTAAAAGAAAAATCCATTCTCAAATCCTCATACAGTAGGGAATATCCCACATGACATAGCCTGATGATTATGTTCAAGCTACTCCAGACAGAAAAGCAGAAGTGGGTCCAAAGCCTTTGTAAAGCCCTTTTTTAAACATTTATTTCTGTTATTTCCATTACCAGTCTTGTGATTTCATTGTACACTGATGTAGCTACAGGCATAGAACTGTTTCTCATCCAGAGAAGATTTTAACCATTTCATTTTTTAACTATAATGGTGTTTCTGAGTTGGACTACAGGGTGGATTTTTCATGTACTGCAGGAGCTCCCTTTAAACGAGTCATGGAAGTGGTTATGCCCCCCCACACCCAAATCCCTTTTCTGATGAACATAGCGATTTCTGTTGTGGTTTCACGTTTTGTGTTGGAAATATTTTCAGTCGTGCATTGGACTGGACTCTAATTGTTGTGGTCATTATTCACTGCTGTTCCCAGACTGAAGATAGTGAGATTGATGTGGACGAGGATGATGAGGAAGATGACGAAGGTGAGGAGGAGGAGAGCAAGGATTTGGAGGACGAGAGCTTGGAGGACCCCATATCCAGGGGTCCTCGACCCTCAAGAGGGGGTATGAGGCCCCCCCTGCTTGAGGAAAGTGACAATGACTTCTGAATAAAGAACACTCACACATGATGAGCTCCAGCTAGTTTTTATTCCAGCTCTAGTTAGACCGTCCAAGAAATATGCATTATTGTTTCACAGCGTGCTGTTTTTGAAACTTAATTGTCAATATAGTTCATGTTCTTTGATATTTGAGTAAAATATTTGTCATAATAAAATATTAAATATTTTATTTTAACATGTCCTCTGTGTGTTGTGACATTTTATTGTTCTCTGAGGGAGTCAACCATATTTTGAAATTTTATACTTTATATGGCACAACATTTGAGTAGTTTTCACACCTCTGTAGCCATTAAATAAATGACTGACTAGTGGTGAAGAATCTTTTAGGGTTTTTTTAGTTTATGTGCTCAAAATATGACAAAAAATAGACATATAGGGATAAATGAAAGGTGGAGAAAAAAGGAAGCTGTTGCAATTCTGAAGATTTGCAGCAGTCAGTGCTTGATATAAGTATGTAAGGTCCATTGATTACCTACAGTGATGCAAAGTGTGGTGAGGTGGATTAAAAAACAAACCTCATTTACCCTGGACATTAAAGACAAAGCTAAGATGGCCACAGTCAAATGATAAAACTGGGTTTACCTGTATTAGCCAACTGGCTGATCTACACCATGGCTGCAGTGATCATGGAGATGCTTGGCTACAAGATGAACAGCCACAAAGAGCAGTATCCTCCATAGAGAAGGAGACTAGAGGCTAAGATCAAGGTAGCACAGAGGGAAGTTAACCAACTATCAGAGCTGAAGAAAGGGGTGTCTAAGACGTGGCTGCACAAATAAACCAGCTGCTAGTAGATGACACACACCCAGAATGGCTAACTGAAGGCCAGACAGTTCTGATCCCCGAGCATCCCTAGAAGAGGCCGGTTTCATCCAACTACTGGAAAAAACCTGCCTCAGTATGACATGGAAGCTCCTGTCAGGCATCATAACAGCTGAGAAGAACAGGCTTGTGGATCAATACATGAGCAGGGCACAGAAAGGAACTGGCAGTAATACCAGAGGGGCAAAACAGACAGATACAGAACAGCCGCTTGAGACTGCAAGACCAGACTGACCCACCTGTGCACTGTCTGGATTAACTACAAGAAGGCCTACAGTGGGGCAAAAAAATATTTAGTCAGCCACCGATTGTGCAAGTTCCCCCACTTAAAATGATGACAGAGGTCAGTAATTTGCACCAGAGGTACACTTCAACTGTGAGAGACAGAATGTGAAAAAACTCCATGAATTCACATGGTAGGATTTGTAAAGAATTTATTCGTAAATTAGGGTGGAAAATAAGTATTTGGTCACCTCAAACAAGGAAAATCTCTGGCTCTCACAGACCTGTAACGTCTTCTGTAAGAAGCTTTTCTGTCCCCCACTCGTTACCTGTATGAATGGCACCTGTTTGAACTCATCATCTGTATAAAAGACACCTGTCCACAGCCTCAAACAGTCAGACTCCAAACTCCGCCATGGCCAAGACCAAAGAGCTTTCGAAGGACACCAGGAAAAGTATTGTAGACCTGCACCAGACTGGGAAGAGTGAATCTACAATAGGCAAGCAGCTTGGTGTGAAAAAATCAACTGTGGGAGCAATCATCAGAAAATGGAAGACATACAAGACCACTGATAATCTCCCTCGATCTGGGGCTCCACGCAAGATCTCATCCCGTGGGGTCAAAATGATCATGAGAACGGTGAGCAAAGATCCCAGAACCACACGGGGGACCTGGTGAATGACCTGCAGAGAGCTGGGACCAAAGTAACAAAGGTCACCATCAGTAACACACTACAACGGCAGGGAATCAAATCCCGCAGTGCCAGACGTGTTCCGCTGCTGAAGCCAGTGCATGTCCAGGCCCGTCTGAAGTTTGCCAGAGAGCACATGGATGATACAGCAGAGGATTGGGAGAATGTCATGTGGTCAGATGAAACCAAAGTAGAACTTTTTGGTATAAACTCAACTCGTCGTGTTTGGAGGAAGAAGAATACTGAGTTGCATCCCAAGAACACCATACCTACTGTGAAGCATGGGGGTGGAAACATCATGCTATGGGGCTGTTTTTCTGCCAAGGGGACAGGACGACTGATCCGTGTTAAGGACAGAATGAATGGGGCCATGTATCGTGAGATTTTGAGCCAAAACCTCCTTCCATCAGTGAGAACTTTGAAGATGAAACGAGGCTGGGTCTTCCAACATGACAATGATCCAAAACACACCGCCCGGGCAACAAAGGAGTGGCTCCGTAAGAAGCATTTGAAAGTCCTGGAGTGGCCTAGCCAGTCTCCAGACCTCAACCCCATAGAAAATCTGTGGCGGGAGTTGAAAGTCCGTGTTGCTCGGCGACAGCCCCAAAACATCACTGCTCTCGAGAAGATCTGCATGGAGGAATGGGCCAAAATACCAGCTACTGTGTGTGCAAACCTGGTAAAGACCTATAGTAAACGTTTGACCTCTGTTATTGCCAACAAAGGTTATGTTACAAAGTATTGAGTTGTATTTTTGTTATTGACCAAATACTTATTTTCCACCCTGATTTACGAATAAATTCTTTACAAATCCTACCATGTGGATTCATGGATTGTTTTTTTTCACATTCTGTCTCTCACAGTTGAAGTGTACCTCTGGTGCAAATTACTGACCTCTGTCATCATTTTAAGTGGGGGAACTTGCACAATCGGTGGCTGACTAAATACTTTTTTGCCCCACTGTATGACTCAGTGCCCCACACATGGATCATGGAATTCCTAGAAGCGTACAATATCAACAGGACTCTAAGAGCATTCCTCAGGAACTCATTGGGAATGTGGCAAAAAACACTAGAGGCCAACTTCAAGCCTCTAGCAAAAGCAGCCATCAAGTCATAACTATGGATACCAACTATGGAATGGAGCAATTGGAGATGGATTGCTATTCTGAGTGACAGCAACATCAGGAAGAAGCACAACACAAGAAGCTTGAAAACTACCAAGGGCTGAGCTTGAGAAGATGTCGAAAGTGAAGGCATCAGTGATCCCAGTGGTAATCGGAGCACTTGGTGCAGTGACCAACAAGCTATGTGACTGGCCCCAGCAGATCCCAGGTACAACATCTTTCCAGAGGAGTGCAGTCCTAGGAACAGCTAAGATACTGTGTAGGACCCTCAAGCTCCCAGAGGACCCAAGCTTGAAGGATTGAGACCACCAGCAGGGGCCAGAGGGGGATTGTTTTGTTTTGTTTTTTTGCTGTTTTTTTGGATACATATAAATTCAGTATTTCCAGGTGTTATCGTAAATTTCGTGTTAGCTTCTCAAAATGTAAACATACTAGATTTTTTTTTAAAATAATAACAAGAATTTTTAAGTTACAAACTGTAGTTATTTATTTATTGTGGTGGAAACGAGCTTCCATATATTCCCGCCACCGGAAAAAACAAATGAATGTATAAAATAAAATTTTTAACAATCTAGTAATTGGGTTATTTCTCAAAATTAGTATCTTGAAATTTCAATTTATATAATTAAAAAAAAACTTGCTTCCATATTCATGACCATACTGAAATGTGTGTTTAATCATTTTGAAGTTTAACAAAGAATTAACAAAAACACATGTTTACTATTTTCTACAGTCCTAGCTGTTTACA